CACTGCTCTCCTAGGATGCTACCCTCTGGGAACCTCCAGCGTGTAAGCACGCATTACATACACACTCCTGTATATGTGCATGTGTACAGCCGCTCAGTCCTCCCTTCAAAACAAGGACATGAACGCAACACACGAACACGGCAGCGAGCGCCGTGCTGCCCATCGGGCTGCCCCGTGACCCCCTGCTGTCACGGAGGTGGGCGGCGGCGGCCCGTGCCCTCCAGGGCACGTTATCAGCCGGCGGCCAGGCGCGCTCGCCTCGCGATCTGCCTCGCGCAGGCCAGGCCCCGCCCAGCGGAGCGCGTGCGTGGGGGGGGGGCGCGCGAGGGATTCCTCCTCAGCCTCGAGCTCACGCCGGACTCACGCCGCGGAGAGTCTCCGTCACAGACGGGGCGCGGAAAGGCTTTTCACAGCCCAAATAAAGGCCTAGGTAGCGGGCAAAAAGGCAAAAACACCACGCAACGCGGGGCCGCCTTCAGCCGGACGGCACTAACACGGGGCGCTCCGACGGCCAACATTTCGCTCGAGTCCACGCCATTCCGACACACGCAGGCCACCGCGAACTGCGCCACGACACGCACACGGCAAGACGTGGGAGTTTCGGGGGTGGGGGGGGGACTGGTCGCTTTGAGTAACCGCTCCCCACCCCACTGTCACCCGAGCAGCGGGAAAGACACGAGGTCCGCCGCTTCTCGAGGGGCCGCTGACGTCACGCACCAGGCTTCCCCGTCCCCCCCCGTTTTAAAGCCTCGGGCTCTTTAAACGCCGAAAAAAAATAAATCGGGGAGAACGAAACGCGACGAGACGGACAGACGGGTGGCAAGACGAGTGGACATCGCCCTGACCCACCCGCGTCGCGCAGGAAGCCGCAAACCTGTCCACCCGGGGGGGTTTTCTTCCTGCCCCCCCCCCGCCCGCCCGCCGCCCCGGCTCACGCCGAAACGCGTTTAAAAAAGCCGAGGCGCCACATGCCCGCCTTACATAATAATACGCCATCGCCACCAAGGCCAGGCCCCGCTACCGCCTCCCGAGAGCCGGCGGAGAAAAACAGAACCGAGTCCCGCGTGTCCGGGACGATCCGTGGAAAGGGATGGCGGCGTGGCGTGGGGTGGGGGGTGGTGGTCTTACCGTCGGCCGGCTGCTGGAAATTCACATAAGCGTAGCCGAGGGAGCGCCGGGTGATCATGTCCCGGCAGACGCGGATGGACAGGATGGGCCCGGCGGGGCTGAACTTCTCGTACAGCATGGCCTCGGTCACATCCGGGTGGAGGTCGCCGACGTACAGGGAGGCCATCGGGTAGCTGGGCGCGCTGGGGTTCATCTTCCTCGCCCTCGGTCGGTGGCGGACGCCGAGAAGGGGGGAGTCGGCGGCAAAAAGAAACGGCGCAGGCACTCCCCGAAGAGAGAAACGAGGGGAGAGGAGGAGGAGGAGGAGGAGGGTGGTGGCGGCGTCTAGTTTAAAATATTAAAAGGCCCGAAATGTTCTCTTGACACGAGATGTTTTTTTTTTTAAAAAAAA